TGCCAGATACCCTGTCAGAATTCAGAGAGGGAGAAGGCAGCTCATGGGAGACTGTGACCTTTCCATTTTCTTTAAAGAAAAAATAAAAATAAATAATTAAAAAAGGAGAAAAACAGCAGGAGGGAGAACCCACCAACGCCACTTCCAGAATCCTGCAACACAAAGTAAGAGGCACCCACTTGCAACTTGGAAGGAAAAGGCTGCATCACATCTCTCAGGCAACAGGCTGTGACATCCTTTGTGCCTGTTGCATCCAGTTCACATAGCATGGTGAACCCTGCACCCAACAGCTATGCCCCAAGTCTGGCAGTCAGACAGAGCCCTGATTCTGCTTTGTCACTGAGAAAATCCATCTGTGCTTCCCCCCTGCTCTGCTCTAGTCCTGCAAGTACTTTCCTCCAGGACGGGGGCGGGGGAGGAAGGCAGGAAAAGAACATCAAGGACTAGATTTGTATCTGCTTGATAAACTAACAAGATGACTCAGAAGTTGACCCCTTCTCACCAAGCCTTCCACTTGCCAAAGGGCTATGCAACAGCAGGTCTACCTGGTCAGCTCTGCTAGAAAAAAAGCCAGGTTTGCATGCAAATACATTCACCAAGTCACTGTAACTCATGCTGAGACCTGATCAGCATTCCTCTCACCCCCACCAATGTTGCTACTTACCTTTACAGCCAGCAACCTCACTCACAAGGGCTTCAACACCACTTTGGTACCCAGCATATCATCCAGGACCAAAGGAAAGACTGAGTCCTGGTTTTGGCTGGGATAGAGTTAATTTTCTTCCTAGTAGCTGGTACAGTGCTGTTTTGAGTTTAGTATGAGAATAATGTTGATAACACGCTGATGTTTTTATTGTTGCTAAGTAGCACTTATCCCAAGTTAAGGATTTTTCAGTTTCCCATGCTCTGCCAGCAAGCAGGTGCACAAGCTCGGAGGGAACATAGCCAGGACAGCTGACCTGAACTAGCCAAAAGGATATTCCGTACCATAGAACATCATGTTCAGTATATAAACTGGGGGGAGTTGGCTGGGAGGGACGGATCACTGCTCAGGCATTGGTCAGTGCATGGTGAACAATTCCATTGTGCATCACTTGTCTTTTCTTGAATCTAATTTTTCTCTTTTTGTTATATTCCTTTTCATTACAATAACTATTATTGTTATATTATTATTATTATTGTTATTATATTTTAGTTATTAATCTGTTCTTATCTTAACCCATGAGTTTGATTTTTTTTTTTATTTTTTTTTTTACAATTTTCCTCCCCATCCTTGTCAGGCATTGGAACAGGCTGAGTCACCATCCCTGGAGGTGTTCAAAAAACATGTAGATGTGACACTTCAGGACATGGTTTAGTGGGCATAGTGGTATTGGGTTGACAGTTGGACTCAATGATCTTAAAGGTCTTTTCCAACCTAAACAATTCTATGATTCTATGATCCCACTGGGAGGAAGGAGGAGTGAGCAAGTGGCTGCATGGTGTTTAGTTTCTGGCTGGGGTTAAACCATGACAGACTGGCAGAGATTATGTGTCATAGGTCGGAGAAGTGACAGAGAGGGTTTACAGAAGGAAATCATGACCAGCAGCACAAAATATGTGTCACCCTTGTGACACAACAGTAGCTGTTGTGAAGCATGTGCCTGACGTACAGGTTTAGGTTGGTTCCTAGCTTACAAGAGATGCACATTGCTGTTAGCACCTTTGGCAACCACTTTTTTCTCCAGGTGGTTTTCCCAAGCCCTACTAAGGTGTTTCCACAGCAATATAAATTGCTGACTAACAAAACTCCTCAGACACTTCCAGTCCTCCTCTGTAGATTTCGAAGAAAATTGCACCTATAAATATCCTGCTATAAAAGAGTGACAGTGAATACTCAAAGGAAAAGTCTGCTTTGAACTGCTGGTGTCACGGGCCTGATCCACACCCACTGAAAAATGGATTCACTCTCAAGACAAACCTTCCTCCATGAGTGCTATATCTCAGGGAAAAAATAAGTTTTTATCTCCTCTTGGTAGACAAAATTCTTGCAAACAGGAATGGAGACTAAGCCAGTGTAACATGTAACAATTACAGCAACACCCTGGTGTGCCTGCAGATGGTTTGCAACCATTTGCATGAGATAGCAACCATCTTTCTTCATCAGCAGGCCATTAAATTCTCCAGCTGGATTTGGGAAAATTGGTGAGGGTAAGGCAATGTCTACCATTGGCACAGCTGTGCAGCACAAAGAAAGTATACATACTCCAAGCTGCTAAACAAGGGCAGAGGTACGACTTAGTATTTCTTCTCACTGAGAAATGGTATCCAGAAATTAGCTGCTGCCTACAGGCCGGGTTCTATCCTGGACCCATGTGCAAGCATTCCACTATCTGTGGGAGGATCAAAAGCACGAGCCTCGCCCTTTCAGTTAAAGAGCTGCCCTGAACCAGAAGCAGTACGGTCTTGAAGACATTGCGGCCACCCACAGCGGGAAATGTAAGCATGTGTGGAGCAGAAAGCACGTGTGGTACTCTGGGCCAGCCCCTGGGTGCTGACACACTGCCCCAGCTTCGGAGAGCAGCTTCCAGGAACAGGCTTCAGGGAATCCACCTGGGCAAGCAGCACCACATGGGGCTGCATCTGCTTACCCACCACCCTCATGCACCAGCTGAGCCTCCTCAGCCCACTGGAAGGACACCTGCCACCCTGTCGGAGATGGGAAATGTGCCTTGCTTCTTCGTGCAGTCAATGCTGAGACCACTTCTCCAAAAGTTTGTCTGGCCCTGGACATCCTCGCTGAGAAAGGTTACATGAACCCAAGGGAGTCTATGCAAAGTAGAGAAATGAGGACAGCCCCTGGCTTTAATATTTGCTTTGAGAAAAGACTAGGGAAGTCAAGCTTATTCTCAGCACTAGAGGGAAGACTTCAAGGTGACCCAGCCACAGCATCCAAAACTGAACAGAGCAAGCGACAGGCACAGTGAACTGCAGACTATCCAGTGGACATTTTTCAAAATACAACACTGAAGAAATCAGGCAGATTCTCAGGTAACACAGACAGAAATGGCTCTGAACCTCTTTCCATGAACCCAAATCAACCTTAGGGAATATAATGGAATTGCTGCGATTTACAAACACCATGAATATGGTCTAGCACAATGACTATTTTTACCCATCACCAAGACAACTCTGTTACTACGTGCAAGCTGCCAGGTGTTTCCCATCCACATCATAAAGGACTTGAGCCCATTTCAGTCACTGGAAGCCCTGTGGCAAGGGCTGCATCCAGTCCTTGCTAGCCTCACATTGGCACTGAGCAGAGAAACAGGTGAAGATAATTTCTTCAGACCCAAGAGTACCTGTTTCTGTAAATGTGAAGAGAACCATCTCCAGCACTTTTCTCTAGAGTTTAATTTACTGTGGAACAATCTAGAAGGCTTTAGCACCAGTCTCTGGTAGGTATCATGTTGCAAAGGGGAGATTTTGGTGGTGTGTGCTGGGAACCTTGGCAGAAAGCTAGAGCTCCAGAGAGAGCACCAGGCCTCCCCCTACACAGCGAGCTGAACCCGAGCATCAACCAGGCAGTCTGAGCAAGAAAAGTCACAGCAGGGAGCAGAGGGACATAAACTACAGTTTTCTGCAAGATGAAGGCTGACAGAAGACAGCCAGGGCAGTGCCAAAGGGTATCAGCACTATCTGCACCCTATGCCCAACGCTTGGATGGGAAAGCGCCTGGGAACCCTAGGTGCTATAACAAACCAGCAGTTCCCACAGCACCAGAGACTTGGGCTGCACCAAGACACTTGGCTTCACCCCAACCACTGCAAGGGATCTGGCAAAAAGGGTGGAAGACCAACAGAAGTCTATAGCTGCAGAACATCTCTTTAAAACACTCCTTCAAACCCTCTCCTTCAAAAAAAGTCTTCCCCTTACTGCCTGTGGGGCAATCTGAGTGTCCTGAAACATGGGTCTTCCTAGGGCAATCACAAAACCAAGTTTTGCTTCGTTGCTGTCCATGATAACATCTAGCCTGTCAACACAACTGATGTGTCAGATAACTTAATCCATCACTGAGCAGAGAAGGAGGCAGAGGAAATAACACAAAAAGTAGAAGCAGCAATGAATGCAATGAATAAATGGACTGTGCTATCCCATAAACTAATGCAGCCACTTAACAGATGGGTCTAAAAGGAATATAATAATCACCATGCAGTCAAAAAGATGCCTGGGTCTTTGGGAATACAAATGTTAAACCTCTCACTGTGTATGAAAACATGCCTATTAAAAGCAACATCAGACAGAGAAATAATCTGTGCTATTTTCCTCTCAAATGCTCATGGCACCAAGAAACAGAGCTGTTAGAGAAAAGTAAACATTTACTTAAACATACCAGCCCCTGAGTGACTCCAGATTTCGGTTTTAGAAAGTTACACAAGTACATACAGCATCATCTGTTCCTGCTGTAATTGACAGAACTGACAATTCTCGCCTTCGTCCTCACTGTCCTGCTCAACCACTTCACAGCAGCAGAATATAAGCTCTGGACACACTGTGATTATCCTTTGCCAGCCTCTGAGAGCTAGTAGGGAGCGGTCTGTGCACAGAAAAAGCTCTAAGTCAGCCATTGTCCAAAACATACTTCCTGGCCCTCATCTCCTCATTCAAAACACCCAGCAGACACACTCAGGAGTTGACCAGGGCCTGCAAGAGTCAGGCAAGCAATGGGGCAACAAATGCCAAGGACAGCTCTGAGGAAGAAAGCTGAGCTACAAATTGCTTTAAATTCAGTGTTAAACCACCCCCCCACACACCTCACCCCATCTTTTATCAAAGGGCTGTATCAAGACATTTTCAAATGGGGTGATCGTACGTCCATGCTTGATACAGACAATAAAGTTCGATGGTTTCTCTATTAACTGGGAGGCATACTTCATTACTTGGCTGTAACACAGTGGTACTAGGAAGTCCATTGCAGCTCAAGTTTTTTAACAGCTCACAGTTACACACAGGAAAATTACCTGAGCTCATAGCACACCACATTGCTGAGAGCCCATAGCTGGCCACGGCCAAGTTCAGCCAGCTCTCCATTACCAAGGGTGTTTGGAGAAGCAGCAGAAGGTAGGATATCCTGTATTACAGAAAAAAAGATGTTCTACTACTAAAGAACATGACCCCCAGCCTGTGTTTACCAGCTGCACCTACCATTTACCCTCATTTTGCTGAAACTCTGCCCAGAGAGAGTTTTGGTAAAGGCAGCCATGATCACATTTTTGAGCATGGTATGTGGGAATTTGGAGCAAAGGTGTGGAAGGAGTGCCAGGGGACAGGATGCTCTCTAGACCCAAACTAGTTCCAGAACAGAGACAGATGTAAAATGAAACCACACCTAAGGTGCCTGGCTGTTTGCAGGCATATCAGAAACTCCAGCAGATGAAAGCTTTGAAACAAAAGCCTATCAGTACAGAAGAACTCCTCCACTTCTACTCCTCTAAATAAAAGCCTCTGGCAAGTTCAGATGTTACTTTTCGTGTCTGTCTCCACTTTGTCACACTTCTTGTTCTTACAGATAAGCTAATGACCACTGGTCCAGAGGTTTACTACAGCACACCACTGTAGTGACAAGGTGAAAGCATCTTAACTATATACACACAGGGAACAACTCAAACAGTTTGATGCAGAAACTCCATCTGGCCCTTACTAAGCTTTGGGCAACGCATGCACACAGCACCCCCTACAGCTGCCGGGTCAGAGGAGACCTCCAGATTCAGTTCTCACGCAGTTCAGTGCTTCCAACCAGCCTCTGCATCCAGACTAGAGAGCATTTACGGGTTGCCTACAATGGATCAGTTATCTTCAGACAGTTTTGTCTTCCATCCCTATGCATACGTGCAATAGCAGCAGTGTTTGAATCCTGGCCTGAGCAACTTTTCTTGGAGAGGTAATAAAACATGCAAAGAACATGTTCCAGCTACATCTGTCCTTACAGCTCCCACTGGACAACCAGCACTCTCCACTTCCTGAAGTACACTTGCTGGTAAGTATGCTCATTATGAAAGTAATTACCTTAGCAGCAGTTCTGATCCCTCATCAATATATTGTTTCAGGAGATCATGCTCCTTACATTAACTGAATGAGAAAAATCTCTATCCAGTTTAATGGAAGACTGCTCTGAATGCTGATGAATAGCTAATTTTCCATTGTTGCTGTTTCCTACTAAACATATATGTCAAAGGCCACTATCAGCTCAGATACCAAATCCCCTCCCGTAATCACTGAAACTGTTATTTATGCTTTTAAGTAGCAGAAATACCCTCTAAACTTATAACTGCTGTAAATATCTTCCAACCCATTACAGTATTAGTTAGGCTGTTGCTATCAGGCAGTAAAAATAACACAGCAGTACTTCAAATGCTGCAGGAAATCATTCCTTAAATGTTTCCTCAGCCTGTTATCCATGCCTCACTTTTGCCCTTCAGCTACTTCAAGCTGCATTGTCACCACTGGGTTAGCTAGCTCACTGCAGCCCCTGCGTGTGCACCCAGCTGCTTTCAGGCAGCAGCCCCTTGGTTGGCATTTAGCATGGACAACCCATCGGTTACAGGCTTCCACAGGCCCAGAACTAGCAACGCAGGAACCTTCAACAGCTGCCAGGTGGCCCTGCTCCTCAGGAGCCTAATGAGGCCGCGGGGGGATTAGTTTTTAACCCCATCCCTAATGCACATACCTGCTGCGCTACTGCCCAACAGCAGCACATGGGGAACAGCTACTTCCATCGTTAGGGCTGGGGTTTGAATCTGAACCTGCTGTCTGAGACACTGCAGGTTAGTATCTATCCCAATTCTTCTCATGAGCTTTATCTGAAGGAGCAATTTACTTCATTTGTATTGCCAGTGGGGTGTACAAATGCTACCAGACCAGGACCTGCATGAGACATCTGCCAAGGCCTGTTTGACTACATCACGCAGACACCACTCCTGACTGCCAGGCTAATGGGCACAGCAGATGGAGAATGCCTTCTCCCTCCCTGCAGAACAGACTTGCCACCGTTCAACACCTCTATGTGTGCAGACATTGTGCAGCACAGGTGCGTTGACCCAGATTTTTCACCCCTACTGAGGCCCGATGTGTACAGCCAGTTGATCTGGGATATGGAAGTCAGAGGTACGGGAAGCAATACATCTTCAGGCTCTTGACTACCTCTCTGGTATTAGGAAATTAGGCATTAGAAAAGCCTTTAGCTTCTCATTTAGTGGTTCCCTACTTCAGCACATATGTACAATTTATTTCATTCTCCTGCTCTGCAAACCTGGAAGTTTGCCAAAGAGCATCCAGGGGAAGACTGCAGGATCTGAATGAACATCTGTCACCAAGTCTCTCTAGCCAGAAGCAGTCATTCCTGTGAGCTGAACACACCGCACAAGGGAAACGTCCATAGCCTCACAGAAGCTGACATCAGCTTCCATTCCTTCCCAGACTGCTGTCACTTTTCTGTAAGACTCATGTACAGAAGAATTTGCAAAGCCAGTGACTTACCTGGGAACATGCTAATGCACACCTTTTACCAAGCCAGCTAAAATCCCAGCTGACTCATGTTCTACACCAGCTGCTCCCTGCACAGGATCTAAGGGAGAAGCTGAGGGACAGCCCTTGTCCAAATAGAAACAAAGTGCAGACTACGCCTCTCCTCTTGGTCCAGAAGACAGACCTGTTGTCGAACTTTAGCACCCAGCTGTTTACCTACAGAGAACTGTGCCCTAATGATGCTTCCTGCAGCACAGCAGCAGCCACAAGTCTCAGCTAAGCACTTTTACTTCAGGGTATCCGAAAAAGCTATATTGCCATGAGATCACGCCCCTTTCTCCTAGCTTGAAGCAGCAGGCAGCTCCATGTAAGCAATCACTACAAAGAAGCACTGTTGCCATCCAACTCCCCAAAACAATTACGAGATCCAGAAATGGGCTGTAAAAAGCATGTAAAGAGAATTTCAGTCGCCAGCTGAATTCACCCAGTACTCAGATTTTATTGAAAATAAGACTCTAAACGGTACAGAAACGCACACTGCACTGCAGCATCCAAGATGCCCCTTCCCACTTTACAGGCTGCCAATGATACATTACTAAAGCTTTCTGGATGACAGGGGAGAGCCAAGACTTGAATCCCCCTCTCGTTACACAGAAGGCCATCCTCCCATACTTGACAGTCACTCTCTAAGGAGAGGCTTCCTTACTTTTAATGATTATGGTAGGATAACACTAGCTGTCAGGTGGCGAATGCAGCCCTTGCAGACAAAAGCATCCAATTACACTAAAAATGCAGCAAGTTCCAGAATCCATTACCGTTAAATGCCTCATACCAAGAAAAATAACACCCTCCATCTGTAAGTTGGCAGGACACCAGTTTATCACTCCTGCTAGCTCTGAGAAAAGACCAGAGCTGTTGCAGGGCGATGTGAATGCTGTAGCTTGGACAAGCGATCACAGCCAGTAGCATGGAGAGGGACATCATTAGCAGAAGACAGCTTTCTGCTAGTACACTGAAATCACAGCAGATCCCAGGTCAACTTCTGACAAATCTCAACCTGTCAAGAAAACAGCCAACATTGTCAGTCCACTCTATCAGAAACAGCAAGTATATAGCTCTCAAATCCCCCCCCCCCCCCCCTTTAAAAACCCCAGGGGGG